GAGATTCTTTATCTGTATCTGGGAATTTCAGACGAAGCCATTAGTTCAGTTCTGGTGAGAGAAGAAACCAAGCAGCAGAAACCAATATATTATATCAACAGTGTACTGCATGGGGCAGAGCTAAGATATCCTATAACGGAGAAAGCAGCACTAGCAGTTGTCACTTCGGCTAGGAAGTTAAGGCCATATTTCCAGTCACACCAAATTATCGTTCTCACCGATCAACCTCTCCGGCAGATTCTACAGAAACCAGAGTGCTCTGAAAGATTAATTAAGTGGGCAGTAGAACTGGGGGAGTTTGAGATAATGTTTCAGCAGAGATCCGCAATCCGAGCTCAAGCACTAGCAGATTTCATTGTCGAATGCACCCCATGTCCTTCAACCTCTACTCCAGAGCCCAACGACTGGACCTTATATGTTGACGGAGCATCTAGTAGCAAGGGTTCAGGGGCTGGCGCTCTCTTGATTGGTCTAGAGGGATACCGAAGCGAACATGCCCTGAAGTTCAACTTTGATGCAACAAATAACATGGCTGAGTATGAAGCTCTGCTACTTGGTCTACAGCTAGCATTGGAGTTGAAAATCAGTGCAATTCAAGTATACAGTGACTCCCAGTTGGTGGTAAACCAAATTAACTCAATCTGTGAAGTTGTTGATCCCGTGATGGTGAAGTATGTAGCCTTGGTGGCCGAGCTGAAGTGCAAATTCCAGAAATTCTGTCTGAGTAAAATTCCCCGAGCTGAGAATGAACAGGCAGATTCACTCTCCAAATTTGCCTCTAATAGCTCTTTAAGTTCCAGATCCGTTTTCATGGAGGTCTTAGATGAACCAAGCTTTATGAAGCCACGGATGATGGAGATCAGCACAGACCCCGACACGTCGAGTTGGACTGATTCAATTATCTCCTTTTTTGCAAGATGGAATAGTACCCGAGGACAGGCAGGAAGCAATGAAGTTGAGGAAGAAAGCGTCTCGGTATACCCTCGTTGATGGGGTCCTGTATAAGAGATCTTTCTCACTCTCTCTCCTACGGTGTTTAAACCCCTATGAAGCTGAATATGCACTTCGAGAGGTGCATGAAGGTGTCTGTGGGAGCCATGTTGGTGCTAAGACTCTGGCTCACAAAGTCTTAAGGCAAGGATATTACTGGCCAAACATGCATAAAGATGCCACTTACTTTGTTCAGAAATGCCCGAAATGTCAATTCTTCGCACATCTGACTCACCAACCAGCAGAAGAACTCACGAACATGGTAGCACCGTGACCATTTGCTTAGTGGGGATTGGATCTTTTAGGCCCATTCGTGAAAGGGGTTAGTGGTGTAACCCATCTGGTTGTTGGTGTGGATTATTTCACAAAGTGGGTAGAAGCTCGGCCTTTATCTAGTCTTACCTCTAAGAAGGTCGAAGACTTTGTTTTCAGCTCGATCATCTACAGATATGGGATCCCGAATCAGATTGTGGCTGATAATGGAACTCAATTCAATTGCTCTTCATTCCGAGATTTCTGTTCCAGTTATGGGATCAAGTTACAGTTCACCTCCGTTTACCATCCGGAGTCCAATGGCATGGTTGAATCTGTTAACAAATGCATTTTAGAAGGTATAAAGCCGAGATTGGAACAGCATAAGGCCAAGTGGGCAGACGAGCTCAACAACGTCCTCTGGGCATACAGAACCACGAGCCGAACTGCCACAGGTACTACTTTAAACCGAGTCTATTTGATTAATTTCTATATTATTTTACTTCTTCTGTTATGCTTTACCTTAGAGCAAATATGCATAATGCATAAAGCGCATTCTAAAGTTATAATCAAATGAAATAGATGAAACACCCTACCACTTGGCCTTTGGTACCGAAGCAGTCATTCCTGTTGAAATAGGAGTCCCAAGCTTCCGGGTCACCCATTTCGATGAAGGGCGAAATGGACAACTGCTTCGGGAAAACCTTGATCTGCTTGCTGAAGTCAAAGAAGAAACTCGGCTTCGAACTCTTGTATACAAGCAGAAACTAGCCAACTTCTACAATAAACGGGTCCGCCCTTGAACATTCAAAGTAGGAGACCTTGTTCTCAGAAAAGCTGGTCTAACGGGGTTTGAAACTCGTTTTGGCAAACTAGCCCCGAATTGGGAAGGCCCTTATGTCGTGGCCGAAGTGCCACATCCTGGCTCCTATGTCCTCCAAGACGCTGAAGGAAAGAGAGTTCCTAGAGTCTGGAATGTCAATAACTTGAAGAAATTTTACCCCTAATAAAATTCTTTCAAGTGATCTGTCTTACTGTTCTTTACGCTTCTCACTTCGTGTTTGTTGAGATTCATTTTACCTCTTATTCTATGTATCTGAGGTCAATCAGTTCATTTATTCCTTGAACCTCACTTCTGTTAATAAATGTCACTTCTCATTTGAAGTGCTTTATCTCCCCTCAACTCATTTACAGTGATATACTTGTTATTAATCCACTTGGAGTGGTTTACTTCTCTATAGTTCGTTTCTGAAGTGATTAACTTCTTTTTATTAACTTTCCTTCTTGAAGTCATCTCAGTTCTTCTATCAATATATAATAACAAAAAGGCAAACACAAATAAACACATTATTTCAAAAATGAATTTTCATTTAGAATAATATAAGTATTACAAACTGATTAAATGTCTTTACAAAAAATTAAAAACAAACAAACAAAATCATTTCTTTGATGGGAGAGGTGGCTCCACTAGCTCTTGCTCAGTTGGAGGAGGTGGCTGTGTTGGTTGCTGCTCGTCTGGCAGAGGAGGCTCCTCATCGTCAGAAGGAACTGGATGAATCTCCACTTCTGGAACTGATTGGCTCTCATCCACTCCAACTCCTTCCACTCTTGCCTCTACTTCATCTTCCTCTACCTCTGCCCCTTCTTCCTCCACTGCAACGAACTCGAAGTTGAATTGTGGAGGGAAAACAGCAAGACCGTCTGCATCATCCTCCCACCTCAGTTTGATCTGAGGACGGAAGTCTACTGACATGCTGTCACCATCCTCCTCCACTCCTCCTTCTTGCTCGCCGAAGGTGATCTTTGTTACATCCACTTCGGGATATTCAGCCTTCACCTTCTTTCTGCAGTCCGTGAAAGCAATGATGGCAGTGGGCAGCCGGTACAAGTTGACGATGCTGTCAAACGAGCTGGAATTGATGAAGTTGCTGATGTGCTCCTTCATCCCATTATGCACCAACTTCTGCATATTCCCCTTCAGCTCCTTGAATGCCTCTGTCATCAGCTTCATTTCTTGCCCCTGAGCCTCACGCTCGCTTTCGGAGATCCTTCGTTTGCTCTCCTCAAAAGCGAGCTTGGTGCTCAGGGAAGCCCTCTCCTACTCCAACTATTTCACAGTTGGAACCACCTCGTTCAGAGACTCTTGCAGTTCTTTATTCTTCTTCTCCAACTCCTCCTTCTCCTTCTGTAGTTGGTCACACTGCCTTTGCAAGAGTGAGCGCTCCCTCAGGCTCTCCATGAACTCCTAGGCTAGACCGTTCACCCAGCTCGCGCTCTGCAAATCAAAGCAGAAGTTTAGAGAGAACGAAGAGAAGGAGAAACAGATTAAATAAACAACATTAATAGTTTAACGTACCTCAAGAACATGCTTCACCACAGATGCTCCCCCATACCTCAGAGCCTCCTCCCGCGCGTTACGCTTGTCCACTTCGGGGAAGGTGCTGTTGATGAACCACCTAGCCCCCGTCATGTTCTTCGCCTCGAACAGGTTGCTCTAAGGTACCACCGGGGGAACAGGACCCTTTCCCTTACTGGGAGCTCGTACCTTAGCCCCCTCCTCCAACTGTCTGAGCTCAGGGTTCAGCTCAACAAGAGGAGGCTGAGGTATGAACAGAGGAACCTCATTCCCCCTTTCCTCCTCCACCACCTTCTGCTTCTTCTGCAGTGCCCTCCTCTCCTCCCAGCCCTTCCTCTTCAGCTGTGGCACCTCCTCCTCCATCTCAGCTGAAGCCGCAAGCACTGCCTCTTTCCTGGCCCTCCCCTCATCCACTTGTTTGGTTGAAGTCTTTGACTTCTTCCTTGGCTTCTTGGGGATGACCGCTCCTCCAGCAGTATTCAAGAACAGGTCCATTTCAGCTGCAAAGCAAGAATACACAATATTAATCATAGTTTTATACTCTACATTACTCTACATTCAGTACTATAATACAGAACTAAACCAACCTTCACTCAAAGCGCTTGGCCCATAGAGCTCAGCAGCTTTCATGCATTGTGCGCTGGTGAGGTCCAAAATGTTTAATAAATCACCCCCCTTCCTCACCAACCTCCCCACTTCTTCCTCCTCATCCTCATTTAAGCTAAACCTATTCTGGTTGGCCCTTTTGGCCTTCCAGGAGGCTAACTCCCTCACCTCGGCATCCCCCTTCCCCCACTCCGTATCATCCACAAAAAAGAATTTTTCCTTCCATCCCTTAATGGATGAAGGACCCGCAGTAAATAAAGACCTACTCTCCTTATTGACTACCCTAGGGGTGAAATAATACCACCCCTTATCTCTCCTACTACCCCTCTTTAAAACAAAAAAATACTTAAACATATTTACAGTTGGCACACTTATCCCTTGAGCTCGGCAATAAACTAAAAAACCTATTATTACCCTCATTGCATTGGGGACCAACTATGTCAACCCTATGTTGTAATCTAACAGTAACCCCACTAACAACTCAGGAAGTGGAAACCTGAGTCCCGCTATCAAATAGTGGGAATACACAGGCATCAAGTGATCCCGAGGAGCAGAGCACGCCCTCTCCTCTACCCCAGCTGGCCTAACTAACACTCGAGATGAGATCTCGTAATTTTCTACTAAGTGACCCAGGCTATCTTTGGTCCTTAGTTCAGATCTATACTGCTTCACTTCCTCTACCACCTCTGCATTCACATCATAGTCTCTCTCTCCTCTACCCTCTACCTTTACTACGGTGATAGGTATGCTGTCTCCCTCAACCCCTACCACTGTGTTCCCCCCAACCTCCACCACTTCATCCCCTCTCACCCCCTCCACCGTTTTCTCCGAACTAGATGGAGATGGACTACTCTCTAAGTCCATGCTCCCATAGTTCAGGGGCATTACCTCACTCCCAACTACACTTTCTCTTCCTTCTGATGACATTTTCCCAAACTCTGCACGAAGTAGGGGGGAGGAATAAGTCAGGATTTAAAAAAAAAAAAAAAAAAAAAAAAAAGAAAGAAAGAAGGAAAAACCCCCTTCTCTGTTGAACGTTCAAAATCTTTCTCACCTCTAACCCTAACTTCTTCCAGAGGATTCTAAATCAACCACAGAAAGGGAGAAAGGAGAGAGACACTTCGATTAACTCAAAATCAGAGGTTCGTCATACATTACTTGATTTCGGTTTTGAAAGGCTTGATGTAGAGATCCCCAGTTGATACCACAGTTCATGCACAAAAAATGCGCAGTAAAGCTTTTCGCAGAAGTTTTGCAAGGAAAGAAATGCAAGTAAACCTCTCTCTGCAGAAAAAATGTTTATTTATACTTCTGGGCAAAATTAGATCTAAACGGCTGAGATTCATTTAATCTTACGGTTCCTATTCGCACCGTTTAGAATTCGACGGCCAACCCCAAACGGTACCATTTTGAATTTGACGGTTCGTTTTTTAATTTTTGCTCGTTTAGCTGCAGCAGTTATCTTTTTACGGTCGCATTTATTGCGCACGTCATTCCAAGGACAACTGTCACACCTATGTCAGTATTTTTACACGGGCCCATTTACGCCCATTTCAACACCTTTGTTCACTTTTATACATTCTCAATTTTGTAAGTGTTTCACCTTGGCTCCGACCACAATAATCATGCATTACATTTCACATCGGCTTCGGCCACAGTTACATTTTATTTCGGCTACGGCCATTATGACTCCGGTCATTATATTTTATTACGGCTCCGGCCATTATGACTCCGGTCATCATATTTTAAGCCCAGCTCAACACTTCTGCTTACTTTTACAATTACACTTTTTGACGGGCAAGTGTTTTACTTCGGCTCCGGCCACAGAGACATGTTTTACTTCAGTTCTAGTTACTGTGACTACATGTCACATACTCTACCTCGGCTCCGGCCATTACGACTCCGGTCATCATATTTTATTACGACTCTGGCCATTATGACTCCGGTCATCATATTTTATTACGGCTCCAGCCATTATGACTCCGATCATTATTTTTACCACGACCACGGCCATGATCGCTCCGGTCATATTCTATTTAAGGCACCCCAGTATGACCCACTGTTACGTATTTCATTATTAGCTACGGCTATGTCTAAATTTAAGTTACAGCTTTCTTCCTTATATTCCATAACTTATCTGTATTCTCTTTGTTCATACACTCCACTCATTATCCCCAACAACATCATTCACAAG